TATAACAACACACTGAATAAATTGATAAAAACACAATATTAATTAAAGTAAATAGGACGTAGACATAAATGTTATATGTTTAATAAGGTGGACACTAATTATATTTGTTAATTTTATCAGACATATACTCATCTGATAAGTATTGTTCATTAGACAATACATTAGATCGCGCAGTAGCTGTTAACTCCATATTAAATGCAGTTGCCACCATGTCAGATGTTATTTGAAGCATATAATATCGACATTTACGCAATATCATCCTATTATTCTCCTTTCGTACACGTTTAACTGATGCTTCATAGTTGACTCTATTCTTTCACGGCAAGGTAAGTGAAAGTATATGCCAGTATACCAAGTTCTTCCATGTCTGTGCATAATGACTATGATTCATTAGCACAAAAAGCCTACTCTCTACGGAGTCTGACATAATTCTCATTTAGATCAGAAAGTCTCTCACTCTTGTAATCATCATCTCGCTTTTGTAATAACTATACTGGTTCATTCCTACAGCTAGTATCACTTGTTCATGCTCTTGTAGTAAATATAAAGTGCAGTACATATTATATGAACTACCCTATATTATGTTTTTATAGTGGTTTTTATTGTCTTAAATAAATATATTTGCCAGCAGTGCAATAATATGTAGTCACATTTATGTTTAAGTTGATGCTCAAACAGTAACAAAAAAAATTGTACAGTAAATGTAACTACACACTATTACCTATCAGTATAACCAAACACTGGTACGTAATGACTATGACTGGACACTGAGAAATGTACTGCATTGATTTTAATAGACTCTGGTTCATCCTGCATCATAGTGATTCACGTTCGTGATATGCTTAACAGTATTAGAGTTTGTAGATGTTAACTACTGTGTAGTCACAAGATGTTGAATCTGAATAAACACCAGTGCATTAAAGTGTAATGTAGGGTCTTCATTAACGTGTGCTGCTGAATAAGAAACAATTATAATGACCGATAATTGTATCATTGTCAGTCATTGTGACAACACACTAGGTTACTGTGATTAAACACTGGTTTACTGTCAATCTGTGTGACTACACAGTAGTTCACTGCCAACAAGTGTGACTAAATATTATTGTGTAGTCAGTGAAGGTCGGGGGTATGGCAGAGGATGATGTCACTGTGGGAGAGGCAAATTTTCATCCTTCTTGACAGTGAACCAGTGTATTATCAAACAGACTGATGTCGGTGATTCTTACTGACGGTGAACCCGAGCAACTTGGCATAGCCTCTCCTGAAGGATGACGCCTATTTTTCAGAGGATGATGTCGGTGTTTTCTACCTGGACCATAAATTGATGAAATAAAAACTTGCCCATTTCTTGCAATAGTTGTAAATTCGGTGTCATTTCAGGATCAACTGATTGATTATTTCTTGCAAGGGAAATACTCTATTTCATAGCCGACTTCTACACCTTTTCATTATTTCAATCATGATTGATGTCTTTCCTGTATCCAAAAATGTCAGGTTTATATTTAAAACTATTGTAACCATTCACTCTGCTCATAACTTGTACATTGCGAGTAGAAGCTTCACTTTAGTCATGGCTTAAAAGCACCTAACACAATCCGATAACAATAGAGGAACAGAACACAAAATTAGAGGATTTGAGTTTTTTTTAAGTCATCAATTTTATAAACAAATGGACCTAATACAACATGATTAATAAACAAATCAAGTATAATTAAAATAATTCAAAAAAATATATATGACACGACTCGTTTATACATCTTTTATACACTAATTATACACAACACGAATTCGATATGACATGATTTGTTAAACACGAATTAATAAACGAATTGGGTATGAATTAAATATTTTTTTACACGAATCCATTAAAACTTGACATGAATCTGTCTCATACGACACAATTGACAGGCTTATTTGGGAGCAGCAGGGAGAGAGAGAGAGAGAGAGAATGAGACTCTAAAATTGGACCTGTTTAGTGAACTTTGTAAAAATTGAAAAAGGTGGACTTTTGTGTTTTCCTAGTGAAAATGGAAAATCATAATACCTAACTATTTTCTTTGATGTCTAGGACCCTAAAATTTTCTGAAACAGATCTCTAGGAGTGGCTTGGGTTTTGCATTTATGGAGCTTGCTTACTGCCTTTTAGGGTGTATGGTGGTGGCAGAGGTGGCTTGAGTTTGTGGTTTCAGGCAGTTGATTGCTGACAATGGTGATGGTGGATTTGGATGGATTTATTGTGTTCTTGATTTTGGTTTGTGGGGACTATGGTGAGTGGGGGTGATTGAAGGCGGGGGTTGTGATATTTGGGGTTGGCAGTGGATAAAATTAAATTAATTAATTTGAATTTGCGGAATTAATTTAGATTTGTTTTTAGTTGGCGATAAATTTGGTACAAATTTAAGGATGATATTAATTAGATTGATCTGATTTTGGAAATAAATATTATTTAATAAAATAATTTGATTAGATTGGCCAACTTCATTCATGGAATAAATAAGATTCGGGATCAATCCCATGTAATTAAGTAATTTTGTTTCCTATAGTTTTGTTATATGACATGACGTGGCAATTTGTGATTAGATGTTGTAAAATTGGCTAAAGGTTAAGGATGTAGAGAATTTTGTGGGTTGAGGGTATTATTGTTAGAAAAGTTGAACGGTGATCACTGACGACAGGGGAGGTCAATGTTATTTCTCAAATAAGAAAGGGTCTAATTGTTATTTAACAAAAACTCAAGAGAGTAGATATAATTTTACCCAAAATAATTTCATTGGATATCAATGTTTTAATTTAAACATTAAAATGCGCATTGCCATTGCCATTGTCATTAATCATGAAAATCACATATGTTCGTATTATAATAACTCCATCCAAATTCATCATCTCATAACATTAATGTAAGGCATACTCAAAAATGTGGAACTCAATTTCATACATTCTAGAGTAACGTCCCCTCCTAAAGGATTTCATTAGATCACATTAGATATCAAGCCTACTAAATAAAAATTCAAAAAATATCAAACATGTATCCAATCAAACAAATTATGCCGTAACAATTAGACAATAACTCAATCAAAAACCCATGCCCAATTAGGCAGTAACAATTTTATCTCCACCAATTCTCAATCAAACAAATTAAACCCCAGTTTCATCTCCTCCAATTCCCAACTGTGTAACTAAGCAATGCTCTTAATTTCATATACAATATGAGTTTTTTTCAAGTATCAAATAATTTACTAAGTCTAAAATAGCACAGGGAGAGACAGAGAGATTAGTGATGTACCTGCTGCTAAGGGATTGAAGCAAATCGTCAATAAGTGTAGGGAGGGAATCATCAAGGCAGAAAGATCGATCTGATGATGGTGGTGGAGGACTCCGACAATCGACCACACTTCTTCGATTCATTTATTTGATTCCTTCCTAGCTTTGACAGTCGACACTTCGACTGAGGGAGAGACAGAAACAGAGGGGGCTTCAACAGTCAACTTTGACACATGTGCATACTCTGTGAGAGAGGCTTCGACACATGTGCATTTGTGCGTGTGTGTGAGAGAGAGAGAGAGAAACCTGAGCTGCTCGTCGGACTCGAGGCAAGTAGAGGATGCACAATACAATACATCAGAAGAAGCGGCAAAACAATTAGGACAAAAATGACCAAAACTCTAACAGTTTGTTTTTTTCTTATGGCTTTTTAATTAACCTGTAGGGTCATTAAAAACTGGACAGTTTAGCGGGGTGAGACAAGAACTAAGCGGTTTAGTGAATTTTATCCGGATTTTATGCTTAATAGATCTAATAAGAAAACCGGCTTGATTTGATAGCAGATTCACCGCATCAACTCGTCGGGCCGAATTGAATTTTAAAACACTGGTTTATATAGATCTCTCCAAAAGATGAATAAAACTATTTATGGTCTATTCCTTTCAAATCTCAATATAAGCAAAATTTTGACATCCCTATGAAGAAAATGATATTTTTCTCTAAGATATGCTTAGATAGTGAAAGATTTTTTTATGTTTTTTTTATCTAGGATTGTGAAAGGTTGACCAACAAGATCATAAGCGAATTTTGGCAACCTCTTAGGACCAAATTATAAGAACTTTATTTTTTATGAATATTTTAATCCCACCGTAAATGGTCTATTTTTGACCAAATCAAGGAAGAGATTAATTGATTTGTGCGTACATTAGTCCAAATACTCCAACTATTGAAAAAAAAGGGTTAATTATAAAATGTCTCCTTCAAGTTTGGGTTATGTTTCAATCAGCTCCTCGTGGTTTCAATTTCAAAAATTTTCCTCCTTCTAAGTTTTAACATATCTCAATCACCCTATTACCGTTATCCTTGATTGTATAAATTGACAAAAATCAACATTAACACCATTAAAAGATATATATACCCTTCTATCTGAAAAAAGAAACAAACCAACTCTCCACAAGCAAAACCCGGTGAATTCCTCCGGTTAAACTCAACCATAACCACATCTCTCNTCTATCTGAAAAAAGAAACAAACCAACTCTCCACAAGCAAAACCCGGTGAATTCCTCCAGTTAAACTCAACCCTAACCACATCTCCCTCAAAGTAGATGTGTCATGGTTGACTAACCAACTCCTTCCCCTTTAAGTGAAAACTGAAAACCCACCAATACCTAATGAAAACCAAAACTCACCCCAAAAACGAGATCCGCCCCCACTCCCAACAAGAGCCCCCAACCTAACCCCCACTCTATCCTCTACAAGGCAACACCCATCTAGAGAGAATGAGAGAGAGTGTGAGAACAAATTCTTTGCAGATGCGTCATGGTTGATTGGTTGGAGCAGAAGGAAAGGCGAAACCATGGTTATCATATTGATTGGTCGGAGCAGAAGAAGGAAATAGGAAAAAAGAAAGATGATGATAGCTGCGCCCAACCCACACTTATCATAGCATTGAATTTTCTTGTGTTGATGATGGGGCAATGAGAGACAATCAAAGGCGGGGTGGGGTTGAGAGATTTTCGATGTTGGTATGGTATAGGCTACCAGAGGTGAGTTTTGGGTTTTGGGGTGCTGTCGGCCTTGGGTATGGGGGTGGGACTGCTAGAGTAGGGGATAAGGGTTCGGGGGCACAAACGAAACAATTGTTGGAGGTTAGGGGGCTGCCAGAGCAAGAAGTGGGGGTTGGGGGGTTGCCAGAGCAAGATGTGAGGGTCGAGGCCCGCCCACAAGCACGCCACACCATTAGCATCGTTGAAATCCACCCATCTCCACCTAAAATCCACACCCACCATCAGCATCACCTAATTTTGTTAGATATTAAATTTGGTTGTTAGTGTGTTATTTGCAACGGGTCTCTTTTCTTGGTTTTCTCTTTCTCGTTTGGTTGGTTAGGTTATGATGGGTGGTGATTAGGTGATGATGATGGTGGGTAATTTGGTGGCTAGTGGTTATGTTTGTAAAGGATGTGGTGATAAGAGAGGTTGGGAACAGTGGTGTTGGAGTTACAGGACCAATTAGAAAACAAGAAGAGAGAAAATGGGGAAAAAAAGTTAAGGGTACAATAATAATTTTAGAATTTTTTGTTTAATTCCTCCATTAATTTAGTGCATTTGAACTTGAAGAGGACAAATTGTCAAAATTGAAACAATGAGGAGCTAATTGAAACATGACCCAAACTTAAATGGGACATTTTGTAATTAACCCAAAAAAAAAAAAAGAGAATAGTCCTTGTCTATCCTAAGACCACATAGTATGATACTAACACCACAAAACTTTATAATACAATGTAATGTACTTTTTTGTTGTGCTAATAAAAGTCCATTCATCCTCTTTCTTTGCCAATCACTTTTTATCAAAAGATCTGATATGATGATTATTAATTTTTTAATAAATTAATGACTTAATTTATTATAACTATTGATTTGATTATGTATTCTAATAAATATTCGGATTCACTATCAATTCAAAAGTTATGAATAATTAGATCAATAAATTAGATATAAATAGTATTGCTCTTAATTTTTTTTATCATAAGATCAGATATGATGATTATTAATTAACTTTTTTTTATTGATTTGTTGAATTATTAATTAATTTGTGTTATCTTTTACGTGTGGATCTAGCTCAATGAGATCTGGCACACGTGCGAAGTCGGTTAGATATTCCCACTTTTCATCCTACTTTAGAAATTTAGAAAGCACGACGTGCAACGTTGTGACAGACTGTTTCGTACGTTGTTTAACCTCATCCGTAGATTTCACATCACATGGCAACGTTTAAACGTCAGATATTTACAGTCTGGATAAGAAGTAGCGAGAACAGCCAAATGAGAATGGAAGACCTTTTTTAGTTGGTACCAAACTTATGTGGGTTCTAGGGATGACTCATGCTGACATTAGATATCCACATGCCTCCACAAATGTGCTCACATACATTACTCATCAATTTTCCATATAGCCTATTGTCCATAAACTAATCCATAAGCAACATTAATTAATCCTCCAATTTTAAATTTTCATAAATAATTGGGTAAATTATATTCAACTTCCTTAAAATTCAAGGGCGGCCCTTGACATTTTGGGGCCTATAGCAGCAACTAAAAAAACAAAGCCTTTTATTTTTAAAAATAATATTTTATTTAAAATTTATTCTTCTTACTTTTTGAGATGTAAAAGTACTAATAAAAGTTTTATATTCAAGTTTTATTATTATATATTTTTCGATTGATAGTATTGCTAACTTATTTAATCTTTCTTGTGATATAGTTGATCTTAAATAAGATTTTATCAATTTTAATTTTGAAAATTTTCCTTCTACAGAAGCAACAGTTACAGGAATTATCAAAAATATTCTATAAGCTATGCATGTATTCGGAAAAGAATCTAATCGTTTTGTATAACTTAATATTTCAATTGGAGTGCTTTTTTCCGTAGGTAAATTTCCTTTAGAACGTTTAGTTCTGAAAACAAATCTAAACCACCAATATCAGAAAAACTATCATGTTTAAAAAAAAAAACTCAAGATCAAGACAATATTTTTTTAAAACTATCATTTCCTAATGATTTTAATTTTTTTAAATTAAATAAAAAATCAAATATATTTTCATATATTTGAAATTGTTCTAATCTACTCTTTAACGAAGAAATAACTTGATCTACTATATATATAAAATAATCAATTCTAAAAGATTCTTCAACAAATTTTGTTATGTCGTCATCAACACTCTCATCAAATTGTTTCTTCCTACGAATTGTACATTTTTTTACAGAATGTAGATTCTATTCCCATTTCAATTACAATCTTTTTAGATAAAATCACAGCATTTGTAAATCAATTTTCTTTATATTTTTCAAAAAAATAAATTAGACTTTTTAATTGATCTATAGCAACATTAATATGCATGTCTTTTGATTGTAAATGTTTATTAATTAAGTTGACGAAAAATAAAATATCATACCAAATAGTCATATCCAATAAGAACTCAAAATTCTCAATTTCATAACTTGCTAAACAATTATCTTCACTTTTTATTCTAGAATCTTCACTAGTTTCTCCTAATTGTAATAATGCATCTCTTATACTTGGTGCTTGAAATTTAATTGCTTTAATACTTTCAATTTGACTTTCTCAATGTGTTTGTGACAATCATTTAGGAGTTAAGCTCGGTACATTATCCTGTAAAATTTTTCATCATTTTGTAAAAGAAGTAAATAATAAATATATGTGTTGTACTACTCCGAAAAATGACATAGCCTTAGGACAAGAGTTAGTCATATCGCAAAATACTAGGTTTAGATTATGACAATCACATGACGTGTATAATGCTCTAGGATTTATATATAGAAGTATTTTTTGTACCCCATGATGTTTTCCTTTCATGTTAGATCTATTATCATACACTTGTCATCGTATATCATTAATATCAAGTTTGAGCTTTGTTATTGTATTTATGATTTTGTTAAACATACCTTTTCCACTTGTATTATCTACCTTAAAAAACTCTAAAAAGTATTCTTCTATTTTTTTTTTGGACTTGTTGAGATATCTACACAACCTAATATGAGAGACATTTGTTATTCATAACTTACATCCGAAATACAATCAAGTATAATTGCATAATCTTTTCATTTTTCCCTGAAAATACCAAATTATTTTTACCAAGATTCGTTACAACAGCAATAATACTCACTAATACGTTTTTTTCCAATATTCTTTCTCTCTATTAATTTGTTCTTGGATAGTTTTATCAATTATTTCACTTTTTAACAATCTTGTTTCTAAATTAATCCAAGTATTCATATTAGTAATAGGTGCATTAGATGTTTCATGGCTTTTAAGTTTTCCACTAAGATTTCTCTAATCTTTAGTCCCTTCATTAGTTAGCTTACTTGTACTATGATTCTTATCAAACAACTTACAACAAAAACAAAATACTCTATCCAAATCTTTTAAATATACTGGTCATCTTCTACTATGTGTCTCCCCATTTGCTAATTTACGAATATAGCGTATTGTGGAAAAATGTTTAGAAAGCTTGTCTTTGAGAAAATCTAAATATAATAGGACATTTTTTCTACTAATAAGTCTCTTAGTTTTGTATTAATATTATTCTATTGACTTGGATCATAAATATTCATAGCATTATAATTACATGTTTCATTAATAATTTCATGGTCTAATTTTTTCTGTTTGCTTTTCATCATCTATTGTCATATTACATGTTTGACTAGAATTGTGCATATTTTCATTTGTATATTTTTGTTGTATTATATTATCATCTTCTAATTCATCGGGACTAATTATTGTTTGCTTGTCTTTTTGAGATTTCAGTAATTCATCTATTTTCTTCTTTTTAACCTTTTCATATTCACCGGTTGTTTTCTACTTGCCATACTATGCAATATTAACTAAACAATCACAACTAATGAAATAATCACAAACAATCTATATTAAAAAAAAGATTAATTGCAAAATATCCCCTTGAACTATAGTTCTTGTTTCAATCATATCCCTCTTATTTAATATTGAACAATTTGCCCCCTTCAAGAGCAAAAAGAATGACGGAGATGACTGAGTAGGTGAAATTCCAAAAATGTCCTTCAGCCCGGTTGATTATTGGCGCCAAATATTTAACCATGGTTAGGTAATCCCTTATCATATAAATAGAACTCTAACCCAAATTTAAACTCATGAAACCTATTTTTTTAACTCTCTTTATCTTTTCTGAGATGCTTCTTGATGTACACGATCTGAGCAAAGAAAGCAACGATANTAATTCACTTAACCGAGGCTATTTGTACTTTATCTGATAGAGGGTGGACATTCATTTCAGATAGGCAAAAGGTATGCAATTTTCATTTCGGCTATACTTTTTCCATTGATGTGTATAACATAGTGCCCTATAACTAACTTCTGAATTATGCATTGTTTTCACTAGGGATTGGTCGAGAGTTTCAATACTGTGATGGCAGGAGCAAATCATAGATTTTGCTTAAGGCACATGTATGCCAATTTCAAGGACAAAGGTTTCAAAGGTAAGGCTTTGAAAGATACAATGTGGGCAACAGCATCAGCATCAGCATATACAGTTCCTGAGTTTGAGGAATGCATGAAAGAAATCAGAATGTTAGATGAAAAGGGTTACTGGTATTTGAGGGGCATAAACCCAACATTGTGGTCCAAGTCTTTGTTTAGTATACATCCCAAGACTGACACACTATGCAACAATGTGTCAGAGTCATTCAACAAATTGATCTTGGATGCAAGAGACAAGCCAATTATCACAATGGTTGAGATGATAAAAAAAAAAAACTCATGAAAAGATTACAAGAGAAAACAGAAAGCTTGATGCATCACACCGGTTTTTTATACCCTACAATTCAGAAGAAGTTAGATGCACAAAAAGAAAAGGCAAGGCATTGCATAACAATTTGGGCTGGACAAGGAGAGTATGAAGTTGAGTGCTTTGGTAAGACTTATGTGGTAAATCTAGAAAACCGAAGTTGTACATGTAGAAGATGGGATGCTACTGGCATTCCATGTGGACATGCAGTGTCAGCCATCTCATTTCATAAAGGAAAAGCTGAAGACTATGTGGATGTTTACTACCACACTGAGACGTATATGAGAGCTTACTCCCAAATCATCCACTCAATTCCTGATAGGAGCCAATGGGTGTCATTGGGAATGGATGTGATCAACCCACCATTGTGGAGAAGACAGCCAGGAAGACCTAAGAAGTTTAGGAAGAAACAAGCTGATGAGGTAAAGAACCCATATATCACACGAAAGAAACAAAATTCTCTTCATTGTGGTAAATGCCACAAATTTGGACACAACTCAAGGTCTTGCACTACTCCAAAGAAAGTTGCAGGCAGTGGCAGCGAAAAAACTAAGACAAAGGAAAGATTATCATGTATTTCATCATGTTAGTAAATGTACATATGTGTTTAAATGTTTACTAACATATACAGCTTATTTGTCGTAGGCACATGATTCGGGAAAGAAAAGAAGTGTTGCCAAAACAGGGAGTAGACAACCAACTATTGGATCTGGGAGTAGTAGCTCACAACCAACTATTGGATCTGGGAGTAGCAGCTCACAACCAACCAAAGGGAATATCAATATCAGTGGCAGTGGACTTCCACCTCCCAGTGGGTTTGCAATTGGGCTTAGGGGGTTAACAATTATCAAGAATTTGGAATGTACTGGTTCGGGAGGTGTCAAAGGCATTGGGATGCTTGCAAGGTCGAAGATGAAGAAGAATGACAAGAATCCCAGTGATGAAAATGGGAAAGGCAGCTCTAAGGGAGGTGAGTGGAGCATGTTTTGACTTCGAACTATGTTGGTGTTGTTAGCACACTTTATTGTTTTGGAGTGCACTGCACTTTAGTGTTGTTTAGAAATCAACCCATCTTTTGTGTCTTGTTAGGCATGTAATGACCTAATGTATCCTCCAACACAGTGATGTGCTTTACATCATGAGATAAACAACTATGAATACAATAATGATTGCATATATTATATTCTCCTTCCTTCTTAAGTATTTAATCTCGTTCTCAAGCTTTGTCGTCTTGCGCATGAAACCAACTATGATATATCTTTCCCTGTCTGTCATCTTTGGTTCATACCAGTCAAAATATTTGCAAGATGTCTTTCCCTGCACTTTACAAAGTAAAGGTTATATCAACATAGCAATTGGAGGAAACATGAAAAAAATAGTTGATAAAAAAGTATCACTGTCTTGTAGTTGGGACAGCAATAAAATCTTCCTGGGTTGTTTTCTGTCCATGATGTCTTCACTTTGCATTTTAGTCCATATAAACACTCTTTCTCACTTTCTCCATGTACTGATGATTGGCTTGAAGCCATTTTTCTGGTGTAAGCACAGTAGCAAAATGTATAATATTGTGGGTTGCTGTGTATTTGTGTGTGGGGAGAGAGAGATAGAGAGAGAGAGAGATGGGAGAGTCAAAAAAGTATTGTTTTTTGTAGAGCAAAAAAAAAAAATATAGGTATAGAGAAAGAGGAAGGCTAACATCAGTAACGGCCATGAATGAGAAATTTGCTTCATTAAATAAGACATCTAAGGGTAGAATGGTCTTAAATGGTTTTGTATTTTTTTTTGGCAGTTGAATTTTAACTGTTACCGTTACTTTTGAGGCCAACTAATCCGTCAGTCTTTTTGCTCATTCTGAAACTTGAAGGGGACAAATTGTTCAATTTTAAATCAAAGGGATCTGATTGAAACAAGATTAATAGTTCAAGAGAGCATTTTGTAATTAACCATAAAAAAAATATAATAAGAACTTTAAATAAAACATTCAAAGCATCGAATAATAACACTTGATTTGTTGTTATTTTTGATTTTCTCGCGAAATTTGATTATTACCATAGTAGAAGCCAAAATAATGCCTCAACCAATAAAAAATAATGCCAAAGAGAAGTACTTTTTACGGTGGAGAGAGGAGGCAGAGGTGCCTCAGCCTTTGTTGGCTGGCGAGCGAGAGAGAGAGAGAGAGAGAGGGGGGTCTTTTTTGCCTGTTGGCGTTTCCAGATTATTTTACCGTGGAGAGAAGAGAGGAAAAAAAAAGATAAAAATAAAGAGTAAGTTGTTAGAAGAATAGGTTGAGAAGTGTGATATAAAAATATCACTAACAACTGTACATCACTTTTATAGATATATATTTTTTTAATAATTTTTTTGGTATATGGGCTGAAGAAATAAGTCCAAATTATCTAATTTAAATCTAACTTTTAACTTTTCTATTGGGCTTCAATTTTTATAAAATTGAATTTTTATTTTTGATTAGTGATCATAATTATAAATTATGGAGCCTAGTTAAAAATTGGGGCCTAAAGCCTGGGCTTCGCTGGCCGTCAGTCTTGCTAAGATTTAGCCAAATAACAACTAAACTTCTCTTGTTTGAAAAATAATACTGCACTCCCTTCCGGTTTGAGTATATGTAACAAATTAACTCAACCATTAGTGTCTTCAAAAATCTATTAATGTAAGCAACCTATTTTTAAAAATACCAATGTTGTCCGTATACAAGTTATAACCGAACTAAATTTGTTTCCAAATAATTCATTATTCATATCCATGTTATAGACAACCTAACATTACTTGCCAAATAAATATTTTATCTCTACTCCATCCTCAAATATCCAATCTCTCACTCTCTGGTTCTCTCTCTAAAATCTATGAATACCCCCTCTCCCTATCAAAGATCCCACCACCTTAAAATCGTCCCTACCCCAAAATCACGGGAGTGGTGGTTCTATTCGGGTGGGTGAGCCACGAGGTAGGTGGTTCTATTCAGGTTTTGATGGGTAGGTTTTAGGAGCTTATAGGTGGGGTTTGATTGGGTTTTGATGGGTGGTACTTCAAGTTTGAGGCTGACAATGTAGTGGCGGTGGTAATAGTTGGTGTTTGAGGTTGGTAGAGCAATGGTGGCGGGGTGGCGGTGTCGCGGTGTAGTGGTAGCTTGGGTATTGTATTTCTGGAGCTTGCTTCCTGCCTTTTGGGATGTATGGTGGTGGCAAAGGTGGCTTGGGTTTGTGGTTTTAGGTAATGGATTGAGGACAATAGTGATGGTGGATTTGGGTGGTTTTTGTTGTGTTCTTGATTTTGGCTTGTGGTGCCAGTGGGGACTATGGTGAGTGGGGGTGATTGAAGGCGGGGGTTATGATATTTGAATCTATTATCAAAACACTATAGTTTTTAAACTTAAATACTAAAAATTAGTCAATGTGTGTCTAAGCTAGTCTGAACAACCCATCATTGAAAAAAAATAGTCCCTGTTTAACCTGAGACCACATAGTATGATACTAATGCCACAAAACCTTATAATACAATGTAATGTAATCCTTTTGTTGTGCTAATAAAAGTCCCTTCAACCAGGGGTGTCCATGTGCAGAGGCGGGCTCAATTGGCAAAATTTTTTTGGGATTGGGCTTAGGTAAGATAGGCTCAAGTTCTTATCTAGGTGAGTTCACGGGCCGATCGAGCGGACTTCGAGTAGAGTTATGTTACTTTGCAGCCTAATCCGCTACTCATTAGACAAATTTTTCAGGCAGGCCTGCTGGACAGACTTTTTTTATACAATTTTATTTAAAAATAACTTACTATTTTTGTAAATTATATTTTTGAATTAAAAGTAGAATCAAAATGAATAAAAAGTAAATTATGTATAATTTTATTTATAAATAGGGGAGAAATTGCATCACAATAGAATAAACATATTCCAACTAAGTTGACACATACCCATCTATTTATCATTTGCACATCCTTTAAAGCGTGTTTGTTTAACATAACAAAAAAAAAAAGAACAAATTATTTATAATTTTTAAATTTCTAAAATTTCAAATTTTGATAATTAAAGGCTTATTTCCATGTTTTGACTAGGCTTGACGGGCCCACTAGGCGCTGGGCTAAGCAGGCAGGTTTTTAAGCCAAGTTTTAACGATTTTTTGTAGGCGGGCTTTGAGCTGGGTAATGAATTTGGGTAGGCCCAAGTCCTCTCTTAAAAGACATTGGTCTGAAACTCAGACAAGCAAACTATTGGGCCTGTCGAGTTTTTGGGTCTATTTTTTTCTTGCAAGATAACAAAACCCGTGGACAATCCGACCCATAGACACCCCTACCTTCAACCAACTTTTTCTGTCAATCATTTTTTTTTTTTTATCAGAACATCAGATATGATGATTATTAATTTTTTAATAATATTATTTAAATTTAATTTATTGATATAAATTAATGACCTAATTTAATACAACCATTGAATTAATTATATATCCCAATAAATATTAGAATTCATTATCAATCCAAAGAATATGAATAATTAGGTCAATAAATTAAGTACAAGTAGCATTGCTTATTATATATCCCAATGATGATTATTAATTTTTTTATCATAAGATCAGATATGATGATTATTAATTATTTTTTTTTTGTTGATTTGTGGAATTATTAATTAATTTGTTGATTTGTGTGTTATCTTTCGCATGTGGATGTAGGCCAATGAGAGCTGGCACACGTGCGAAGTCGGTTAGATATTCCACTTTTCGTCCTATTTTAGAAATTGGAAAGGCGTGCAAGGTTGTCACCGCTTGTTTTGTACGTTATTTAACCTTGTTCGTAGATTTAGCATCACGTGGCAATCTTTAAACCGTCAGATGTTAGAGTAAATATCAAATGTAACGATAACACTATATTATTATTGATAATATATTATCACTAATTAATAATAAAATGTCAAATGAATAAAATGAATTCTACTTAGACTTATATGAAAAAAAAAAAAGAGTAAAGAGATATTTATTTATATGATAAATTAAATTTTATAAAATTTATTTAGTTGTTTATTTTAATATTATTAATAAATGATATAACATTATATTGCCATTGGATATCACATGTCGGCACTCCGGATAAGAAGGAGCGAGAACAGCTAAATGAGAATGGAAGGCCTTCACGCGCTCTGTGGGCGTGACCCTAAATGATTTTCTGCACTCGGATTCGCATTTTTAGAATCCATTTTTTTGTGAATTCGTATTCTTATTTTATTAATTCATAAATTTAATTTTTTAATTCATAAATTTAATTAATTCACGTGTTACTTTTCTTATTTGCTTACTCATTATTGTTCAAATTCTTATTTCACAAGTGTAAGTATATATTTAAAGATATATATTAAATTAGAATGATATTTATAATTTATGATTGCTATTTTAAAATTTTATAATTAACACATATTTAGAAATTAATTAACTTATCACATAGCTGTGCGCATAGTCTAATTTTTTAATTATATTTGATGAGCCCACATTTAGACTAAGTCTGGGTCCAATTCATTGGTTGAATTCAAATCATTAAAAAGCAAGTCAAATTCAGTTAATGGAATCAGTTTTATCTGAAGATCAAGAGTTCAAAAATATCAACATACATAGAGAATAAACATTGGGATAGTCATTACTTGAAGATAACGTTTATCCTCAAGTCTAGATATCTTCTCCAATAAACTACTACTTTAATCCTCACATCATCGCCTCAACTAGGGGTTTGTACCTATAAATTGTAAATTCTCTACACATGAAGGAGAGACAAGTGTCTTTCACATAGATACCTCACACACCTTATCTTGAGCATACTCTTGCGCGCGCTCTCTCCTACTACCTTGTATTGTCTCATTAATAAAGTTCTCCTACTATCTTATATTCTTTCATTAACGAAATTATCTGGCCACCGTTACCATCTTCATTGGTTAGGCCCCCAAACCAAACCACATAATCTTTGTCTTTTATTGTTCATTGTTTTCATTAATTATCCTG